TTGTTGTGGTGAAGTTTTCCACCAATAGGAGAGATGTTGTGGTGTGTTTTTTTTTTCTTTTGGCAAGCCTTTTCCGCCTGTAAGACCTGTCGCTAATGTCTGCATGCTATGTTTTCCTGTCTCATACAGCGCGATCGAGCGCCGAACGTGATCAAAATAAGCAGAAAAAAAGTATCGCGGACATAATTTATCATAACTCTGGTTTTATTTGGCCTATCAACACAATTTAAAAACTGGTATATAGGTTGAGGTCCTTACTTTTGAGATAAGTTGAAACGGAGAGTCAACGAGGCTCCGTCTTGCAGCTACATCCGGTTAAATATGTCATGTGACTTGAACGCACACACAGACACACACACACGCACACACACACACACACACACACACACACACACACACACTCAGAGTCTGGTTTTTAGCACCTGCAAAAACATGCTATTTACATATTTGACAAGAATGCAGAGGCTCCTTTTGCCCCTGAAAAAAATCAAATTTCAAACACAACTTGACTGGTCATTTCTCCAAAAGACAACCATGAAGCTCCATCCAAACCTGAAGCAGGCAGTTGGTGCATGTGTACAATAACCTGAGGGGAGTGAGGTGAGTGCTTCTGAGGAGAACATGAGCAGTGAAGATTCACCTTGGTGCTAGAACAGAGACATGCACATGATTATACAGGGGCAGGGGCTCAAGTTTTTTCCAGTCGTTTATACAATATGGAAATTAATGTGAAATTAAAACACAAAGTATTAATAGAAAGGTAATGACTGTCCTGTGTAGGTGACAGTGATATCGAATAGGCTAGGCACTCACGAGGCTGGCTGTGGCAAGTGTAAGTGAAAGCAACACGCACTGGCAGGAAGAACAGCAAACGCCGATGAAGGAAAAGGGTCTTTGCAGTGATGGGCGTTACCAGAGAGGGCGATGGCCAGAGGACACAAATGGGACGGGGAGGCAGCACGTTGGGGGGGGGGGGGGGGGGGCGACACGGCTCGTTCAGCTGCGAGAGCCCTATTATTCCCCAAGTGGTTTTTCTTTGTTTCTTTTTAGGGCCCGAGCGTAGCTGCTAAGCAGCTGCGAGGCCCTATTATTCCTGTAGTGGTTTTTCTTTGTTTCTTTTTTCTTTTTCCTCCCCTTTGAACAGGAAAATGGCCCACTTCCCACTGGCGAAAACTCATGAAATTTGGCAGGATGACCGGGCCTGGTGAAAAATTTGATATTCCGAAGTCGCCCAAACAATAAAATGCAAAATGGCTCCATAGCGCCCCCTAAGGTGAAAATTCACACTATTGACTGTCACGCCTGTACGCTTTGTCAAAATGACACAAAAATTGACACACACATGTATCTCAATAAGATCTACAAAAAAGTCAGTGCGGCCGTATCTGTCAAATGTACGGTTAAAGGGTTATTGCGCATTTTTTGCCGATCCGCACACATTGGAATTTCGCTAACTCCTCCGAAGGCTTTTGTTCCACCGGCACCACATTTGCTCAGGCCAATCTACACCCCATGGCCATTAAAAGTTATTCAAATCATGACGCTGCACCCCACGGTTTAGGTTCTAGGGGGCGCCAAAGATAACCCTAAAATCCACATATTTAAAAGTCTTATAACTTTTTATTTTTGCCCTCACTGGCCTCCAAGTTTTCTAGGATGATGCAATGTCCAGCCATCAACACATTTGTGAAGGAATTTTTACTCCCCAAAAGAGCGCCCCCCATGGCAGGAGAAAAAAGTCCATTTTTTCTTGTCCCATAAGGTGAAAATTCACACTATTGACTGTCACGCCTGTACGCTTTGTCAAAATTACACAAAAATTGACACGCACATGTATCTCAATAAGATCTACAAAAAAGTCAGTGCGGGCGTATCTGTCAAATGTACGGTTAAAGGGTTATTGCGCATTTTTTGCCGATCCGCACACATTGGAATTTCGCTAACTCCTCTAAAGGCTTTCGTTCCACCGGCACCACATTTGCTCAGGCCAATCTACACCCAATGGCCATTAAAAGTTATTCAAATCATGACGCTGCACCCCACGGTTTAGGTTCTAGGGGGCGCCAAAGATAACCCTAAAATCCACATATTTCAAAGTCTTATAACTTTTTATTTTTGCCCTCACTGGCCTCCAAGTTTTCTAGGATGATGCAATGTCCAGCCATCAACACATTTGTGAAGGAATTTTTACTCCCCAAAAGAGCGCCCCCCATGGCAGGAGAAAAAAGTCCATTTTTTCTTGTCCCATAAGGTGAAAATACACATTGTTTAGTGTCACGCCTGTACGCTTTGGCAAAATGACACAAAAATTGACACACACATGTATCTCAATAAGATCTACGAAAAAGTCAATGCGCGCGTATCTGTCAAATGTACGGTTAGAGGGTTATTTCGCATTTTTTGCCGATCCGCACACATTGGAATGTGGCTAACTCCTCCTAAGGCTTTCGTCCCACTGACACCAAATTTGCTCAGGCCAATCTACACCCCATGGCCATTTAAAGTTTTAAAAATCATGACGCTGCACCCCACGGTTTACGTTCTAGGGGGCGCCAAAGATGACCCAAATATCCACATTCTTAAAAGAATCGACATCCCCCCCCCCCATCCCCCATCCCCCATCCCCCATCCCCCATGGCAGGAGAAACAGTCAAGTTTTTCCTGCCCATCACTCAATGGCTCAATCGCATCGCTCTCCCGGCAACACCGTAACGAGGAGCAACTTGCCGTTTGGATATATCCTAGCTGTGTTTGTGCCCTCACTCATGGTCCAGACTTTTTTCAAATAGGACATGTAGTTTGTCTGCAGCGAGTGTTTTGGTAGAAACTGCGCCTCCCATTCATTATAATGGGAAATGACCACAGACAAGTGCGCACACCATCTTTGGACCTTGAGTGTGACGCGATCTGAAGGGGGAGGTGGTCGCACTGGGGGCGGCGCGACGCGGCTCGGGCCCGACAGTGCCCCACCGGGGCCCTAGTTATTAGGGCCCGAGCGTAGCTGCTAAGCAGCTGCGAGAGCCCTATTATTCCTGATGGATTCTTCTTTAGGGCCCGAGCCAGCTGCAGAGCAGCCGGGCGTAGGCCCTATTATTCCCCAAGTGGTTTTTCTTTGTTTCTTTCTTTCTTTTTTCTTTTTCCTCCCCTTTGAACTGGAAAATGGCCCACTTCCCACTGGCGAAAACTCATGAAATTTGGCAGGACGACCGGGCCTGGTGAAAAATTTGATATTCTGAAGTCGCCAAAACAATAAAATGCAAAATGGCTCCATAGCGCCCCCTAAGGTGAAAATTCACACTATTCACTGTCACGACTGTACGCTTTGTCAAAATGACACAAAAATTGACACACACATGTATCTCAATAAGATCTACAAAAAAGTCAGTGCGGCCGTATCTGTCAAAATTACGGTTAAAGGGTTATTTCGCATTTTTTGCCGATCTGCACACATTGGAATTTCGCTAACTCCTCCGAAGGCTTTCGTTCCACCGGCACCACATTTGCTCAGGCCAATCTACACCCCGTGGCCATTAAAAGTTATCAAAATCATGACGCTGCACCCCAAGGTTTAGGTTCTAGGGGGCGCCAAAGATAACACTAAAATCCACATATTTAAAAGTCTTATAACTTTTTATTTTTGTCCTCACTGGCCTCCAAGTTTTCTAGGATGATGCAATGTCCAGCCATCAACACATTTGTGAAGGAATTTTTACTCCCCAAAAGAGCGCCCCCCCATGGCAGGAGAAAAAAGTCCATTTTTTCTTGTCCCCTAAGGTGAAAATACACATTGTTGAGTGTCACGCCTATACGCTTTGTCAAAATGACACAAAAATTGACACACACATGTAACTCAATAAGATCTACGAAAAAGTCAATGCGCGCGTATCTGTCAAATGTACGGTTAAAGGGTTATTCCGCATTTTTTGCCGATCCGCACACATTGGAATGTGGCTAACTCCTCCTAAGGCTTTCGTTCCACCGGCACCACATTTTCTCAGGCCAATCTACACCCCATGGCCATTAAAATTTATCAAAATCATGACGCTGCACCCCACGGTTTAGGTTCTAGGGGGCGCCAAAGATAACCCTAAAATCCACATATTTAAAAGTCTTATAACTTTTTATTTTTGTCCTCACTGGCCTCCAAGTTTTCTAGGATGATGCAATGTCCAGCCATCAACACATTTGTGAAGGAATTTTTACTCCCCAAAAGAGCGCCCCCCCATGGCAGGAGAAAAAAGTCCATTTTTTCTTGTCCCCTAAGGTGAAAATACATATTGTTGAGATTCACGCCTATACGCTTTGTCATATTGACACAAAATTTGACAATCACGTGCCTTGCCTGGTATCATTTTTTTCAGCACAACCTCACCTGTGCGAATTTACAGTTATTTTATCATGTTGACATACTGAATTTACACAATGGACCCAAATTCACACACAAAACATAAAATCCGAGTGGAAAAAAGTAACATTTTTACTGTGAAAACCACAAATATGTGTGATGAACTGTTTTTAAAACTTAAACTTCAAATAAAAATTGTAAACTTCAAAACATATGCAAATTTTTAACAAAGAACATAGTGATTTACCTCTATTTACATCAAAATGCAGGCAATGGCCCAGGCGTTCTTTGTAAAATTATTTACAAAACACTGTATAGTCTCACAAATGTCACTTTTTATTTATGCCACTACAAAAAAACATGATGTAAATGATGCATGATGTAAAACATGATGTAAAAAACTTGTGTAGATCCTCCTGTATGTCAGTCCATGTGTAATTTTTCCATAATTCTTTGTTTTTTGCAGCATTTTTGTTAGTGTAACTGCAGATTGTGCTGACAGTGTCTATGGCACAAAAAAAAAAAAATTAAAATGCCTCAACATGAACCCCTGGTGGTCTCTGAGGGTGAAACCTGCTAACTGCTGCAGCTCTGTCAGCTTCAGTCTCCCATGCAGAGCTCTGAGCGCATGTGTGGCTCTGCACCCTTAGCAGCGTTGCTAACTCCTCAGTAAGGAAAGCCTGCTTCATGTCAGAGTCTCTAAACTCCAGAAGAAGTCGATAAAAGTCCCTTTCTTTCTAAAAAAAGTCGTTAGGGGGTCTGAAAAGTCATTGAATCTAACAACAAAGTCGCTAGGTTTGCAACTACGTGTCCCAGACTGCATCCCTGCTGAGAGTCCCTCCCTCCCTTCTCATGTTGCAGGAAGAACGTAAGCGCCCGCCCCTTGTCAATCAGTCACCATATAATTTTGGATTGGTTGTTGTGGTGAAGTTTTCCACCAATAGGAGAGATGTTGTGGTGTGTTTTTTTTTTCTTTTGGCAAGCCTTTTCCGCCTGTAAGAGCTGTCGCTAATGTCTGCATGCTATGTTTTCCTGTCTCATACAGCGCGATCGAGCGCCGAACGTGATCAAAATAAGCAGAAAAAAAGTATCGCGGACATAATTTATCATAACTCTGGTTTTATTTGGCCTATCAACACAATTTAAAAACTGGTATATAGGTTGAGGTCCTCACTTTTGAGATAAGTTGAAACGGAGAGTCAACGAGGCTCCGTCTTGCAGCTACATCCGGTTAAATATGTCATGTGACTTGAACGCACACACAGACACACACACGCACACACACACACACACTCAGAGTCTGGTTTTTAGCACCTGCAAAAACATGCTATTTACATATTTGACAAGAATGCAGAGGCTCCTTTTGCCCCTGAAAAAAATCAAATTTCAAACACAACTTGACTGGTCATTTCTCCAAAAGACAACCATGAAGCTCCATCCAAACCTGAAGCAGGCAGTTGGTGCATGTGTACAGTAACCTGAGGGGAGTGAGGTGAGTGCTTCTGAGGAGAACATGAGCAGTGAAGATTCACCTTGGAGCTAGAACAGAGACATGCACATGATTATACAGGGGCAGGGGCTCAAGTTTTTTCCAGTCGTTTATACAATATGGAAATTAATGTGAAATTAAAACACAAAGTATTAATAGAAAGGTAATGACTGTCCTGTGTAGGTGACAGTGATATCCAATAGGCTAGGCACTCACGAGGCTGGCTGTGGCAAGTGTAAGTGAAAGCAACACGCACTGGCAGGAAGAACAGCAAACGCCGATGAAGGAAAAGGGTCTTTGCAGTGATGGGCGTTACCAGAGAGGGCGATGGCCAGAGGACACAAATGGGACGGGGAGGCAGCACGTTGGGGGGACGCGACACGGCTCGGGCCCGCCAGTGCCCCAACGGGGTCCTAGTTAGGGCCCGAGCGTAGCTGCTAAGCAGCTGCGAGAGCCCTATTATTCCCCAAGTGGTTTTTCTTTGTTTCTTTTTTCTTTTTCCTCCCCTTTGAACTGGAAAATGGCCCACTTCCCACTGGCGAAAACTCATGAAATTTGGCAGGACGACCGGGCCTGGTGAAAAATTTGATATTCTGAAGTCGCCCAAACAATACAATGCAAAATGGCTCCATAGCGCCCCCTAAGGTGAAAAATTCACCTGACGCCTGTACGCTTTGTCAAAATGACACAAAAATTGACACACACATGTATCTCAATAAGATCTACAAAAAAGTCAGTGCGGGCGTATCTGTCTAATGTACGGTTAAAGGGTTATTGCGCATTTTTTGCCGATCCGCACACATTGGAATTTCGCTAACTCCTCCAAAGGCTTTCGTTCCACCGGCACCACATTTGCTCAGGCCAATCTACACCCCATGGCCATTAAAAGTTATTCAAATCATGACGCTGCACCCCACGGTTTAGGTTCTAGGGGGCGCCAAATATAACCCTAAAATCCACATATTTCAAAGTCTTATAACTTTTTATTTTTGTCCTCACTGGCCTCCAAGTTTTCTAGGATGATGCAATGTCCAGCCATCAACACATTTGTGAAGGAATTTTTACTCCCCGAAAGAGCGCCCCCCCATGGCAGGAGAAAAAAGTCCATTTTTTCTTGTCCCATAAGGTGAAAAAACACATTGTTGACTGTCATACCTGTACGCTTTGTCATATTGACACAAAATTTGACAATCACATGTATCTCAATAAGATCTACGAAAAAGTCAATGCGCGCGTATCTGTAAAATGTACGGTTAAAGGGCTATTTTGCATTTTTTGCCGATTCGCACACATTGGAATTTTGCTAACTCCTCCGAAGGCTTTCGTTCCACAGGCACCACATTTGCTCAGGCCAAATTACACCCCATGGCCATTAAAAGTTATTCAAATCATGACGCTGCACCCCACGGTTTACGTTCTAGGGGGCGCCAAAGATAACCCAAAAATCCACATTTTTAAAAGTCTTTTAACTTTTTATTTTTGTCCTCACTGGCCTCCAAGTTTTCTAGGATGATGCAATGTCCAGCCATCAACACATTTGTGAAGGAATTTTTACACCCTAAAAGAGCGCCCCCCCATGGCAGGAGAAAAAAGTCCATTTTTTCTTGTCCCCTAAGGTGAAAATACACATTGTTGACTGTCACGCCTGTACGCTTTGGCAAAATGACACAAAAATTGACAATCATGTGTATCTCAATTAGATCTACGAAAAAGTCAAAGACCGCGTATCTGTATAATGTACGGTAAAAGGGCTATTTTGCATTTTTTGCCAATTCGCACACATTGGAATTTCGCTAACTCCTCCTAAGGCCTTCGTCCCACTGACACCAAATTTGCTCAGGCCAATCTACACTCCATGGCCATTCAAAGTTGTAAAAATCATGACGCTGCACCCCACGGTTTACGTTTTAGGGGGCGCCAAAGATGACCCAAATATACATTACAGTAGACAAAGTAGTTTTGCCCACTGAGTGGCGCCAAAGGGACTTGTCTGTGGAGTCTGTGAGTCACTATTGGCCGTTTTTGACTACTTTAGATTTTACCTTTATATTTCCTCTTACAAAATTTTTACCTAGCCTTGCCTGGTATCATTTTTTTCAGCACAACCTCACCTGTGTCAATTTACAGTTATTTTATCATTTTGACATACTATATTTACACATTGGACCCAAATTCACACACAAAACATAAAATCCGAGTGGAAAAAAGTAACGTTTTTACTGTGAAAACCACAAATATGTGTGATGAACTGTTTTTAAAACTTAAACTTCAAATAAAAATTGTAAACTTCAAAACATATGCAAATTTTTAACAAAGAACATAGTAATTTACCTCTATTGACATCAAAATGCAGGCAATGGCCCAGGAGTTCTTTGTAAAATTATTTACAAAACACTGTATAGTCTCACAAATGTCACTTTTTATTTATGCCACTACAAAAAAACATGATGTAAATGATGCATGATGTAAAACATGATGTAAAAAACTTGTGTAGATCCTCCTCTATGTTAGTCCATGTGTAATTTTTCCATAATTCTTTGTTTTTTGCAGCATTTTTGTTAGTGTAACTGCAGATTGTGCTGACAGTGTCTATGGCAAAAAAAAAAAAAAAAAAAACTGAAAATGCCTCAACATGAACCCCTGGTGGTCTCTGAGGGTGAAACCTGCTAACTGCTGCAGCTCTGTCAGCTTCAGTCTCCCATGCAGAGCTCGGAGCGCATGTGTGGCTCTGCACCCTTAGCAGTGTTGCTAACTCCTCAGTAAGGAAAGCCTGCTTCATGTCAGAGTCTCTAAACTCCAGAAGAAGTCGATAAAAGTCACTTTCTTTCTAAAAAAAAGTCGTTAGGGGGTCTGAAAAGTCATTGAATCTAACAACAAAGTCGCTAGGTTTGCAACTACGTGTCCCAGACTGCATCCCTGCTGAGAGTCCCTCCCTCCCTTCTCATATTGCAGGAAGAACGTAAGTTCCCGCCCCTTGTCAATCAGTCACCATATAATTTTGGATTGGTTGTTGTGGTGAAGTTTTCCACCAATAGGAGAGATGTTGTGGTGTGTTTTTTTTTTCCTTTGGCAAGCCTTTTCCGCCTGTAAGACCTGTCGCTAATGTCTGCATGCTATGTTTTCCTGTCTCATACAGCGCGATCGAGCGCCGAACGTGATCAAAATAAGCAGAAAACAAGTATCGCGGACATAATTTATCATAACTCTGGTTTTATTTGGCCTATCAACACAATTTAAAAACTGGTATATAGGTTGAGGTCCTCACTTTTGAGATAAATTGAAACGGAGAGTCAACGAGGCTCTGTCTTGCAGCTACATCCGGTTAAATATGTCATATGACTTGAACGCACACACACACACACACACACACACACACACACAAAGACACACACACACACGCACACACACACACTCAGAGTCTGGTTTTTAGCACCTGCAAAAACATGCTATTTACATATTTGACAAGAATGCAGAGGCTCCTTTTGCCCCTGAAAAAAATCAAATTTCAAACACAACTTGACTGGTCATTTCTCCAAAAGACAACCATGAAGCTCCATCCAAACCTGAAGCAGGCAGTTGGTGCATGTGTACAGTAACCTGAGGGGAGTGAGGTGACTGCTTCTGAGGAGAACATGAGCAGTGAAGATTCACCTTAGAGCTAGAACAGAGACGTGCACATGATTATACAGGGGCAGGGGCTCAAGTTTTTTCCAGTTGTTTATACAATATGGAAATTAATGTGAAATTAAAAAACAAAGTATTAATAGAAAGGTAATGACTGTCCTGTGTAGGTGACAGTGATATCCAATAGGCTAGGCACTCACGAGGCTGGCTGTGGCAAGTGTAAGTGAAAGCAACACGCACTGGCAGGAAGAACAGCAAACGCCGATGAAGGAAAAGGGTCTTTGCAGTGATGGGCGTTACCAGAGAGGGCGACGGCCAGAGGACGCGAATGGGACGGGGAGGCAGCGCGTTGGGGGGGGGACGCGACACAGCTCGGGCCCGCCAGTGCCCCAACGGGGTCCTAGTTCTTCTTCTTCTTCTTATTATTTTTCTGCCCCTTTGAACTGGAAAATGGCCCACTTCCCACTGGTGAAAAGTCATGAAATTTGGCAGGACGACCGGGCCTGGTGAAAAATTCGATATTCTGAAGTCGCCCAAAAAATCAAATGCAAAATGGCTCCATAGCGCCCCCTAAGGTGAAAAATTCACATGATTGAGTGTCACGCCTGTACGCTTTGTCAAAATGACACAAAATTTGACACACACGTGTATCTCAATAAGATCTACAAAAAAGTCAGTGCGGGCGTATCTGTCAAATGTACGGTTAAAGGTTTATTTCGCATTTTTTGCCGATCCGCACACATTGGAATTTCGCTAACTCCTCCGAAGGTTTTCGTTCCACCGGCACCACATTTGCTCAGGCCAATCTACACCCCATGGCCATTAAAAGTTGTACAAATCATGACACTGCACCCCACGGTTTACGTTCTAGGGGGCGCCAAAGATAACCCAAAAATCCACAGTCTTAAAAGTCTTATAACTTTTTATTTTTGTCCTCACTGGCCTCCAAGTTCTCTAGGATGATGCAATGTCCAGCCATCAACACATTTGTGAAGGAATTTTTACTCGCCAAAAGAGCGCCCCCCATGGCAGGAGAAAAAAGTCCATTTTTTCTTGTCTCCTAAGGCGAAAATACACATTGTTGACTGTCACGCCTTTACGCTTTGTCAAAATGACACAAAATTTGACACACACATGTATCTCAATAAGATCTACGAAAAAGTCAATGCGAGCGTATCTGTTCAATGTACGGTTAAAGGGCTGTTTCGCATTTTTTGCCGATTCGCACACATTGGAATGTGGCTAACTCCTCCTAAAGCTTTTGTCCCATCGGCTTCAAATTTGCTCAGGTCAATCTACACCCCATGGCCATTCAAAGTTGTACAAATCATGACGCTGCACCCCACGGTTTACGTTCTAGGGAGTGCCAAAGAGGACCCAAATATCCACATTTTTAAAAGTCTTATAACTTTTTATTTTTGTCCTCACTGGCCTCCAAGTTTTCTAGGATGATGCAATGTCCAGCCATCAACACATTTGTGAAGGAATTTTTTCTCCCCAAAAGAGCGCCCCCCCATGGCAGGAGAAAAAGTCAAGTTTTTCCTGCCCATCGCTCAATGGCTCAAAAGCATCGCTCTCTCGGCAAAACCGAAAGGAGGAGCAACTTGCCATTTGGATATATACTAGCTGTGTTTGTGCCCTCACTCATGGTCCAGACTTTTTTCAAAAAGGACATGGAGTTTGTCTGCAGCGAGCGTTTTGGTAGAAACTGCGCCTCCCATTCATTATAATGGTAAATGACCACAGACAAGTGCGCACACCATCTTTGGACCTTGAGTGTGACGCGATCAAGAGGGGTAGGCGGTCGCGCTGGGGGCGGCGCGACACGGCTCGGGCCCGCCAGTGCCCCAACGGGGCCCTAGTTTTTTTCTTGTCCCCTTACATGAAAATACACATTGTTGAGTGTCACGCCTGAACGCTTTGTCATATTGACACAAAAATTGACAATCATGTGTATCTCAATTAGATCTACGAAAAAGTCAAAGAGCGCGTATCTGTATAACGTACGGTTAAAGGGCTATTTCGCATTTTTTGCCGATTCGCACACATTGGAATGTGGCTATCTCCTCCTAAGGCTTTCGTCCCACTGATACCAAATTTGCTCAGGGCAATCTACACCCCATGCCCATTCAAAGTTGTAAAAATCATGACGCTGCACCCCACGGTTTACGTTCTAGGGGGCGCCAAAGATGACCCAAAAATCCACATTCTTAAAAGTCATTTTGGCCACTGCAGGAGTACAGAGTACTGCAGTTCTAGGGGGCGCCAAAGATGACCCAAAAATCCACATTCTTAAAAGTCTTTTTGGCCACTGCAGGAGTACAGAGTACTGCAGGATACACACACATATACACACACGCCAACACACACACACACACACACACACACACACACACACACACACACACACACACTCAGAGTCTGTTTTTTAGCACCTGCAAAAACATGCTGTTTACATATTTGACAAGAATGCAGAGGCTTCCTTTTGCCCCTGAAAAAAATCAAATTTCAAACACAACTTGACTGTTCATTTCTCCAAAAGACAACCATGAAGCTCCATCCAAACCTGAAGCAGATAGTTGGTGCATGTGTACAGTAACCTGAGGGGAGTGAGGTGACTATTTCTGAGGAGAACATGAGCAGTGAAGATTCACCTTGGAGCTAGAACAGGGACGTGCACATGATTATACAGGGGCAGGGGCTCAAGTTTTTTCCAGTCATTTATACAATATGGAAATTAATGTGAAATTAAAAAACAAAGTATTAATAGAAAGGTTATGACTGTCCTGTGTAGATGACAGTGATATCCAATAGGCTAGGCACTCACGAGGCTGGCTGTGGCAAGTGTAAGTGAAAGCAACACGCACTGGCAGGAAGAACAGCAAACGCCGATGAAGGAAAGGGTCTTTGCAGTGATGGGCGTTACCAGAGAGGACGATGGCCAGAGGACGCGAATGGGACGGGGAGGCAGCGCGTTGGGGGGGGCAGCGCGACACGGCTCGGGCCCGCCAGTGCCCCAACGGGGCCCTAGTTATTATTTTTCCTCCGCTTTAAACTGGAAAATGGCCCACTTCCCACTGGCGAAAACTCATGAAATTTGGCAGGACGACCGGGCCTGGTGAAAAATTCGATATTCTGAAGTCGCCCAAACAAGAAAATGCAAAATGGCTCCATAGCGCCCCCTAAGGTGAAAATTCACACTATTGACTGTCACGCCTGTACGCTTTGTCATATTGACACAAAAATTGACACACACATGTATCTCAATAAGATCTACAAAAAAGTCAGTGCGGGCATATCTGTCAAATGTACGGTTAAAGGGTTATTTTGCATTTTTTGCAGATCCGCACACATTGGAATTTCGCTAACTCCTCCGAAGGCTTTCGGTCCACCGGCACCACATTTGCTCAGGCCAATCTACACTCCATGGCCATTCAAAGTTGTACAAATCATAATGCTGCACCCCATGGTTTAGGTTCTAGGGGGCGCCAAAAATAACCCAAAAATCCACATTCTTAAAAGTTTTATAAATTTTTTTTTTTGTCCTCACTGGCCTCCAAGTTTTCTAGGATGATGCAATGTCCAGCCATCAACACATTTGTGAAGGAATTTTTACTCCCCAAAAGAGCGCCCCCCCATGGCAGGAATAAAAAGTCCATTTTTTCTTGTCCCCTAAGGTGAAAATACACATTGTTGAGTGTCACGCCTGTACGCTTTGTCGTATTGACAAAAAATTTGACACACACGTGTATCTCAATAAGATCTACGAAAAAGTCAATGGGCGCGTATCTGTAAAATGTACGGCTAAAGGGCTATTTTGCATTTTTTGCCGATTCGCACACATTGGAATGTGGCTAACTCCTCCTAAGGCTTTCGTCCCACTGACACCAAATTTGCTCAGGCCAATCTACACCCCATGGCCATTCAAAGTTGTAAAAATCATGCCGCTGCACCCCATGGTTTACGTTCTAGGGGGCGCCAAAGATGACCCAAATATCCACATTCTTAAAAGTCGTTTTGGCCACTGCAGGAGTACAGAGTACTGCAGGATACACACACACAGACACACACACACACAGACACACACACACACACACACACACACACTCAGAGTCTGTTTTTTAGCACCTGCAAAAACATGGTATTTACATATTTGACAACAATGCAGAGGCTTCCTTTTGCCCCTGAAAAAAATCAAATTTCTAACACAACTTGACTGCTCATTTCTCCAAAAGACAACCATGAAGCTCCATCCAAACCTGAAGCAGGCAGTTGGTGCATGTGTACAGTAACCTGAGGGGAGTGAGGTGACTGCTTCTGAGGAGAACATGAGCAGTGAAGATTCACCTTGGAGCGAGAACAGGGACGTGCACATGATTATACGGGGGCAGGGGCTCAAGTTTTTTCCAGTCGTTTATACAATATGGAAATTAATGTGAAATTAAAAAACAAAGTATTAATAGAAAGGTAATGACTGTCCTGTGTAGGTGACAGTGATATCCAATAGGCTAGGCACTCACAAGGCTGGCTGTGGCAAGTGTAAGTGAAAGCAACACGCACTGGCAGGAAGAACAGCAAACGCCGATGAAGGAAAAGGGTCTTTGCAGTGATGGGCGTTACCAGAGAGGACGATGGCCAGAGGACGCGAATGGGACGGGGAGGCAGCGCGTTGGGGGGGGGGGGGGCGACACAGCTCGGGCCCGCCAGTGCCCCAACGGGGCCCTAGTTTTTGTTTGTTTTTTTAATTTATTTTATTTTATTATATTATCATAACTGAATTTGTGAAGCACATTGTGACTTCTGGTTGTGAAATATTTCTCACAAATAAAATTTAGGAATACAAACAGTCTCACACAGAGCTGTTCACAGCATCAGTGGCAAAAATGACAAACCTCGAACATTAAAGGTCCCATATTATGCAAAATAAACTTTAAAATGGTTTTCTAACAATGATATTCATCCCCAGCCTGTCTACTGACCTCCTCAAATGAGAAAATTCTATCCTCTGCCTATCTGCCTTGTTCCACCCATAGACTGTATACACTATGGACGACTTGGTTCTGCCTACCGCCTGTATACAGATTTAAAGCCAAATAGCTCTCTGTATTTCCGGGATTTTTCTTCATTTCCTGAAACCAGCGCTGCGCAGTAGCGAGAGTCCCTGTGATGACGCTCGGCTCAAACAGCGCATCCCCCGGGTGAGCTACGCAATCCCTGAATGCCCATAGGCTTTATCTGGTGTCAATCATAGAAAACATGAACCCCCTAATAACTTTTAAAAATAGAGCTTCACAGAAAAAAGAGGACTTGAGCACAAACCAGTCTTACTGTAACTACACGTCAACATCACAAGAAGGGGGGAAAAAAATGTATGTTCTGTGTAATAAATTTCTAAAGTTGGTCCACAGCCCCATAAGCTTTGCTGGAGGAGGTGGGATTTATGACCTGGACTGCAGCCCATCAACAGAGGGTGCTGTTCTCGGAGTGGCTTCACCCAGCGAGGAGGCAGACTCTGTCCATTCTTTATACAGTCTATGGTTCCACCTTTCAGAAAATGTCTGCCCAAATGGGCGGATTGAACCTATCGCCTTCCATGACGTCATGGACGGTGATAACTCCTCCCCTCCAGGTTGGTGACCCTGCCCAAGATGTTTGTTCGCCCCCCCTGAAAATTCCCACTCAGACACTGTTTTTTCTCCCTCGCATACATTGGTTCGAAATGGTAAAGGTACAAGCAAGACATGGCGGTTGCTCTGTTGTTGGCTGCAGGAAGCAGCACAGAAGTCTGTTTTTGTAGACTACAAGAACATACTCAGGAGAGACAACTATACTTACAATATTGCACATTCACCCAAGGAGCTCCGAGTAACAAGAAGACAGTGGAGATGTGACCGTTAGCAGGAGCTAATGTTACCTAGCTTCATGTAAGTCGCTGTGTACCAACACAAGAACAAAGTAAAAAGAAAAATATCGAGACATATAATATTTGTAACTAACCATTCAGAAACATCCTGCTGCAGACAGAGTTGAGCCTCTCCTTCTGGGTCAGACTCTGAATCAAACTGGTACGACTAGCACTAGCGCTAGCACTCTGTGTAAACATTAGTGCATGGTACTGTAGCGCAAGCCACGCCTCCCTCTTCCAGAGCGACAGGGAGGGGCATGGCTTGCGCTGAAGGAGGCGTGGACAGGTGCAGCACACAGAAACAGCGTGTTCTCGGTAGAGCTTACTAGAGAAAGTTTTGAGGCTGGCAGAAGTCCAGGAAAAAAGAATGGATTTTTAGACAATAAACTTCAAATGGACAGTTCTGGGACCTCTGAGACCTATGTGAACCTGCTGAAAAGGAGTATTATATGGGACCTTTAAACTGACATTGTTATAATAGCTGGTCATCAGGAAACTTTCTTTTCTTCTTTTAATTATATATAAATGAACAGGCAAAAGTGATCAGACTGTAAGTCACTGTCCTGTC